GCTTGGTTGCTTGCTCATTTGCCAGTCTTAAATCTATTAAATAAACATAACGTAAATATTATATTTAACCGTGTTTCTTTTTTATTTATTTTATTTCGTTGGCTACAATTAATGCGGTAATTGCACATTCGACTAGGTCTAACTTTCTAGGTCTCTCATTTTCTTCCCAGATGTTCGTCTGGTTACTTTAGGTTAGGTTAAGTTAGATTAGGATCCCGCTCGGAGACGACGCCGTCATGGCGCTCGATCTTACTCTTTACTTAATCGTCACGGCCCTTCCCTTTAAAATGGTGATCCCCTACCAGAAACGGGAACCCCTGAGGAGGACGATGGCTCGGAAGTGGTCCCGAAACATCGTGATAGCACTGCGAGGGTGCTGGGCGTAATAAGTACTGCCCTCGGGACGTGCTTTCAATAAAGCAAAGTGAGGGAGGGGCCCCGGTTGCGTTCCGAACGGAAATCGCGGGACCCCCTTACATGCTGATGGAGACCACCGTGGGGTTTTAGCCGGTAGGAGTCCGGCATAACCGTTTGGGTGCCCACAGCCAAAGGTGTCAATGAGGATTTCCCCACGAGAAAAAAAAAAGATTAGGTTAGGTTAGGTTAGTGTACACAAGTAGTATACCCAAGTGCACCCAGTGCGTACACTGTTGTTTTCCGATTCGCAAGGATGTATAATACTAACAAACCCGGTATAATTACACGCTGTGAGACATTCCATCATAACCCTAATAGGTGACAACGCATCTGTTGCCTTTTATACTTCAAGTATCTGTTAAAGAAGTCATTTACCATCAGGTGGGCTACATGTTCGTTTGTCACATAAATATTATGAAATGCATTTAAGTGGCTCAAAGGTCGAAGTACTCGATTCCTGCGCCATAAGTCCAAAACTCGAACGAAATCACGTATAGTTTATTTTAGAGTAAGATTGTTTTGATAATGGTCCTAGGTCCCAGCGTTAGTAAACTTACCTTAGATCTTAACACATTCAGCCTTACATTTAGCTGGAGTGTGTAATGATGGGTGAGCGTATCTGTGCTAGCACGTATAGCAGCAAACAGTTCACCGCTAGAGGCGACAGAGGAAAAGTGAAACTGGGGATCGGCAGCACAGTATCTGCCTGTTAACAATTCAAAAATTCAAAATATTAGATATAGCCGCTTATAAGAATTAGATATACCCGCGTGCCAAATTTAGCAACTATAAGAATCCCCTCGATTAGGCAATCTATGGGAGAGGTCAATGTAAAGTTGTAGAATATTTATAAGGTCTAACGAATGAATCGACGAATATAAATAGATGATTATATGTATACCACAAAGAAGTTGGCTTGGAAGTATGACCGCTCAGATAAATGAATAAGTGCACTAAATTACTCACTAATTGCTCAATTCCAATCCACAATTGCTCCCACTATTAATTAATTATTAATAATTAAAAGTACAAAATCGTTTTTGCCTATTATATTTAAAACCAATGAACTTTTCTAAAAAAGAAAACGTACTCTTAATTACTCACAAAATGCTTAATTCAAATCCGTAATTGCTCACACTATTTATTAATTATTTAATTAGTAATTAATAATTAAAAGTACAATTTTTTTTCCTTGGCCAATAATTAAATAATTCATAAATAGTGTGAGCTATTGCGGATTTGAAATGATCACTATGTGAGCAATTTTGTGCACTTGTTCAATAATCTGATCGGCTAAGGAAGTACTTTTAATTATTAATTACTAATTAAATAATTAATTAATAGTGTGAGCAATTGCATATTTTAATTAGACGTTTTGTGAGCAATCAAGAGTACTTATTCATTTTCAAAAAAGTTTATTGGTTTTAAAGCAAAAACTATTTTGTATTTTTAATTATTAATAACTTATAAAATAGCTCATTAATAGTGTGAGCAATTACGGATTTGAAATGAGCAATTTGTGAGCAATTTAGTGCACTTATTCAATTTAAGCGACAGTAGCCTAATGGCAGGGCGCGGACCGCGAACTCAAAAAGGTCGTGGGTTCGAATCCACTATTCGACTACTGGCGTGAACCACTCGTAACACAAGCTATTTAAGCTTACCACGAGTGGTTAAGGGGAATATTAGTAATGTTTATAGCATTGTTAATATTCTTTAAAAAAATTTGATCGTCTAAGGGAAAAAATTATGTACTTTTAATTATTAATTACTAATTAAATTATTAATAAATAGTGTGAGCAATTACCGATTTGAATTAAGCATTTTATGTGCAATCAAGAGTACTTATTCATTTTGAAAAAAGTTTATCGGTTTTAAAGCAAAAACTATTTTGTATTTTTAATTATTAATAACTTATGGAATAATTCATTTATAGTGTGAACAATTACGGATTTGAAATGAGCAATTTGTGAGCAATTTTGTGCACTTATTCAATAATCTGATCGGCTCAGGAAAAAATTGTACTTTTAATTATTAATTACTAATTAAATATTCAATAAATTGTGTGAGCAATTACGGATTTGAATTAAGCATTTTGTGAGCAATTAACAGTACTTATTCAATTTTATAAAAGTTCATTGGTTTTAAGTATAATAGGCAAAAAGAATTTTGTACTATTAATTATTAAAAACTAATAAAATAATTCATTAATGGTGTGAACAATTGCGGATTTGAATTGAGCAGTTAGTGAGCAATTTAGTGCACTTTTTCTTTTATCGCAGCGGTTATACTTTCAAGCCAACTTCTTTGTGGTTATACATATGTATTACCTATTTAGATAACATTGAAAACTGATATCTTAATTATCAAACAATCCTACTTCCCGTGGTATCGTGCCAAGAACGATGATTGCATTTCCTCGCTGAATGACTAGACAGACTCTGAGCGAGGGAAAAAACACACCCTCTTATCACCAGCACCCGCACCAACGGTCAGTTGCGGATAGAGCTCCTTTATAAACTTTACCGCACGTGGACCCCACGGAACGATAGTATCTACAGCAAATGGCACAAAAATTTAGTCATCTCACTGACTCATATTTGCGCCACTTACTCAGTTCAGCCGCCTCTGATACTGCTACGGCTCTAAACGAGGTACTCCTGAGATGAGAGGCCGCCATACTGTCTACGTAAGTAGGTAGCATCCCACACCGTCGAGTCAATATTCCACAAGGCTATAAAACTGAGGCAACATCTATAGAGACAAGAGTTCTTCGAATGGCATCATTCAAGCAACCGTGCCGTGAAAAACTAACAGAACTTTTCTTACATGAAAGTCTGTGGAGCCCAAACTCGTCGACGCTGCTACATTTACTATAGCTATACGACGCTTTAGTATTGTTAGAAATCAAAGAATACATTTTATATCCGAATATAAATACCGGCATCACATTTCTTGTTATTTTTTTAATACAAAAGATACACAAATAAGCTTCCCGTTCCCCTTGTTGGTAAGTGGCTACCGCAGCCAAAGAACACTGTCAATATAATCTTTATAAAAAGGTCACTGATGCTTTGTCACCCCTAGCTACGTAAGATATAGATCACAAACTAACTTCTAGAATACCTGTCTCTCAAGCCCTTCAAACCGGAATAAGGAACTTGTACATTGAGCTTGCTGGCTTCAGCCTTTTGGAGATCTCACTCAAAACCATTCCCTTAGCTGGCGATTTTGCCGATATATAACAAACAGTTCTATTATGATCAACCAATAAATTGGTCCACTGTTTAAATTAAAATGTGATTACAAAATTACATGTTCTTTAAATTGTTTGTTTTTGTAATACAATCACGGAAATTCACTTAAAAGAAATAAGTACACAGAAATTCATTAATGAAAGGTAAGAAGCAGGTGACGTCATTACAGTTGTCTGGATCTAGAGTAGACATCAAGCCCTGGCAAAAGTCCAAGAATTTTAAATACGCGATTCAAACTAAAATGAGGACGTGTTTTTCTTTTATTTGGGTAGTACCTAAGTTCCCACAAAATAAACACTATTAGGTGTATATAAGTAGGTCATACAAACGTATATAAACTCTCACGCCTGTTAATCAAAGAGGTAGGCAGAGACTACAGACTTTCATTTGGCACGGTTCTGACACACCCCTCTCACTTTTTTAAGGCAAACATGCTCGTCGGTTAAAGGAGCACTTTTAATTTGGCTTATTTTAATATATCTCTTGCCAACTCTACCACATACTTCTGCATTATAAATTTGCTTTGTCACTCTTTACTCATTCGTTCTTTATTTGTCCAAACCACTGAAGCATTTCTTTTTTATTCCTTGTCACAACATCTTCTTGCAAACCACACTGTCCTCTTATCACACTACTTCTCACACTATTATGCAGAATCAGTCCTAACATAATTCTTAATGACCGGATTTTTACAGCATTTATTTCACTTTCATACTTCTTCTGCCACACCCACCTATCACTACCATACATTACGGTAGGGACTAACACACCAGTTTAAATTGTCATACGTGCCTTTTGTGACACATTCTGACTTTCTATAAAAGAGTGAAAAGCCCCATTTATGCTGTGGTCTGCGTTCACCTGTCACTCTATATCCTGGTCATATCTACTAGCCCTGCTAAACACACATCCTAAATACACAGTCATCCACTTGTTCAACCAACACCCCTTCAATTCTTATTTCACATACCGTTATACTTTTTTTTATCAAAACCCAATATTTTCGTGTTATGGTCGCCACACACGGTCAGTTCAACTGATCATTCCAACTGATCAGTTCACACTAAAACTGTTGATATTTTATAAAATTTTAGTTTAAACTGATCAGTTGGAATGTTCAGTTGAACTGACCGTGTGTAACTGTTCATTAATGTAACAATCGTTTGCACCGCATCCGCCAATAAGGCAAATAAGACTTGATCGTCGGCGTATAAAAACATTTGACGACTAACTCACCCATTCTTAACCCACATTTTTCAACGTTCAAAGTTTCCTATGCTAGGTTACTAAGCAGGAAATACTTTAAATGATTTCTTTTACTTTCAGTTACCAACGTAATGAACTCAAACAAATAAACATGAACAGCGGCACCAAGCGAGCCTTGACAGGCTCTATACATAAAATTAGAGAATTTGAATTGGAAAAAGTAAGTAGTTGTTTTTCCTATTGCTAATTTGCGAACAAAACAAATTTTTTTATTTTTATTTTTTTCATTCTTTGTGAACTGTATAATTTTATTTTTTAGGTATGTTTGGTCGAAGAATTTGATATTCTGCAAATAGTTGGAGAGGGATGGTTCGGAAAAATACTTCTAGTGGAACACAGAGCATCCGATACAGAAATCGTTCTCAAAGCTTTGCCTAAGCCTTATGTGTCTATAAGGGATTTTTACAGAGAATTTCATTATAGTCTTCATCTGAGTGCACATAAAAACATTGTGACTACATTCGATGTCGCGTTCGAGACTGCAGGATTTTACGTATTCTGTCAAGAATACGCTCCTTTAGGTAAGATTTGATTGTTAATTTAAAACAATTTGTTCGCTACTCAAAACATCATTTGGCTGAAACATTACATTACAATATGCAACTTTCATACGGGGCGAGACAAATACAAATCTGAACTGTTTCTTGCACGCTTTATGTTGGATTGCAGCCAAAACGCTGATTTTAATGAATATTACAGCCAGTTCGCTTATAACGACCGTCCTAATTTTATAGTTTTATTCTTTAGTCAATTTTATTATGTTAATAGAATTCATTCATTACCGCCTATCCAATTTCAACTCTGGAATAGGTCTGCCGTATTAGATTGCCTATATTTGCCATAGTTTTCACGCTTGGCAGGCGACTTCTTACGGCACCCACGGGATGACGGGATGATAAGGGATAGTGGGTTCTATCGCTACTAATACTCTTCGGTGCTCGATAACGATTTTAAATTCTTTGAGATACCGAACAATAATAAATATCTCTTTTTAGGTGATCTAACTTCGAATATGCTTGATACTGGAATTGGAGAAATTCACACAAAAAGAGTGGCAAAACAATTAGCAGCTGCATTAGAGCATCTTCACCAAAGAGATCTTGTACATAGAGATGTAAAACTAGACAACATTCTAATATTTAAATCGGATTTTTCAAGAATAAAGCTTTGTGATTTTGGCGAAACAAGGAAAGTACAAGCTGCTGTTAGGAGAAGAAACGAATGGCTGCCGTACTCCCCGCCAGAAGTGTTAAAACTGCCGATGGATAGTAGCTACAAGTAATGAACATTAGTATTTGTACTTTAACACCGTTTGTTGCCCACAACCCGATATTACTATAAATACTAAGTAATGAATCTCTGTTCATCAGATATTATAACTTAAATACATATTTGTAATCTCAAATATTGAAATAATAAACTGCTGAACGATTATATTCGTTTTGTTTCAGAGCCCTAATTAGTCATGATATATGGCAGTATGGTATAGTTATCTTTATTTGTTTGACTGGATGTTTGCCTTGGCAGAAAGCAGCGTTCGATGACCCCAGATATGTCAGGTGGGCAAAATATATTCAATTTTTATTTTCTACTTCGTGAGAATGTAAATTAATAATTATATATTTTTATATTTTTTTTTTGTAGTTACTTAAATTGGTATAGTAGTGCAAATCCTCTGAAAAAGCAGCCGAAATTATGGAAAATGGTTTCTTCGAGAGCCCAAAAAATGTTTAAGAAATTTATAGAGCCAAGAGAAGATAAAAGAGCTACAAGCTTTGTAGAGCTTTCTAGATATTTAGAAGACCGCTGGATGGCGAAAGGATATACGGACAGAGTAGGTAAGCGTCACAAATTGTCAACAAAAGTTTGTGTAGTTCTATAATATATCAGAATTTGATACTTTTTTATAACACATTCTAGTCGATGGTAAGTGGGTAATGTGGCCTATAGACATCTACATCTATCGTTTGTTATGAATCAAAATGCAGATATGTTGTCACCCCTGAGGAATAAGATGTATGCCTTGTTTCCAGTAAAAAGGATCTTCGGTTCTCTACTCTCATCATAGTAAACACAGTAGCATAAGCTTGTATGTAAGCTTATTTAACATTGTATCTTGTCAGAGCGTGATTTTTCCCTGGTCGAGCCGACCATTTCATGTTACAACCATATTACCTATAGCTGTAGTATGGCTCTACCACGTAGAACCACGTACCGCTTACATAAGTTCGATATTTCAGTATGAATAGTAGTTAATTAGTTTTTTTTTATATATATTTATTAAACTAAATACGAGCAAACACTCCACCCAATGATAAATAGCTACTATATAGTACTTGTATATGCTATATGGATGTGGAGGAGGGGAGATAGGTGTGTCAGGATCGTGCCAAATGGAAGTCTGTAGTCTCTGCCTACCCCACTGGGTGACAGGCGGGAGTGTTTAAAAAAAAAATATATATATATGTATATAGTACTAGTATCCCGAAGGGCTATGAGCGCTCTTTACTTTACTTTACTTAATTATCTTCACGCACAATCCCTAACGGGGTAGCCAGAGAGAACAGATCGACAAGTGTCACGATCCTTACATACCTCTTTCGCTTCTTTCAGGTTCATTATCTTCTTTATACATGCACGTCTAGGTATCCGAGTACTCTTGACCTTCCCCTCTTCGAGTAATTTGCTCACATGGTCTTCGAAAGTTAGTCTCGGTCTATCTCGACACCTTTTAATATTTACTTTCGCGCTATATATTTTCTTCACCATTCGGTCTTCACTTATTTGCTCAACGTGCCCAAACCATCGGAGTACGCACCTATCAATTTTTGTGATAAGGTGATTTTTCAATCCTGCCATATTGCGAATCTCTTCGTTTCGCTTTCGGTCGGCTATGGTAACGCCGCACATTTTACGAAGAGATCGCATCTCCACTGCATTCAACTTGCTTTTATGCTTCTTCTGGCATACCCAGGTTTCGCTGCCATATAACAAAGTCGGTACCAACACTGCGTTATGTATTGCAAGGCGTGCACTCTTCACAACGCCTTGCCTTTTGACTAACGCATTCAGGGCACCATTGACTTTGTTCCCGGCAGCGACACGCCTGTCCACATCTAAATCACATCTTCCATCCCAGCTGAAAGCACTCCCCAAGTATACAATTTCATTTACCTGTTCTAGACATTCCTGATTTACCCATATTTCAAATTTCGTTCTCTCTTCGTCCTTTTCAAAAACCAGAACCTTAGTTTTATTAGCATTCAAACGGAGACCTTTAATTTCAGATTCCTCTTTCATACACGTGACTAATGCCTGCAGTTCTGCTTCTGATGGTGCAATAAGCACTGCATCATCAGCATAGAGCAGACAATTTACTTTAATGTCACCCAATTTCAAACTTAAACAGCTATTTTTCAGCTTCTGTAAACAGCTGTCGAGATACAGTATGCATAACAGCCAGGCAGACATGACACAACCCTGTTTTACGCCCGCTTTGACGCTAAACATGGGTGACAGGTCATGCCCTACCCGCACACAGGCTTTACAGTCATAGTAAAGTGACTGCACAGCCCCTAACAATCGACCATCCACACCATATTCCGGCAACAGTTCCCACATTTTCTTCCTTATAACCTTATCAAATGCTTTCTCCAGATCCACAAAAGCACAGAAAATCCTCTGGTTAGCAGTCAGAAGCTTTTCCGTGATCATGCAGAGAGAAAACATTTGATCCGTGCATCCTTTTCCAGGTCTAAATCCGCATTGTGCCTCCCATAAGAATCTTTCCGATTTCTCTTGCATCCTACGTGTCAAAACCTTCGAGTCAACTTTACTTGCTAAACTGATCAAGCTGATCGCCCGATAGCACCCACAGTCAAAATGTGAACCTTTACCTTTATATAAAGGCACAATATATATATATATATATATATATATATATATATATATATATATATATATAAATTGTGCCGTGTAGTGGCGGTTAAGAATATCCACTACCCCATATCTTCCCGTGGGTGTCGTAAGAGGCGACAGAGGGAGACAGGCAGGAGATGGGCAGCAGCGTCTTCCTGATGACAACTGTGACGTAATAAAAAACTGCGGTTGCCAACCCGCTCGCCAAGCGTGGCAACTATGGCAAATACCCCCCAATGAACAAATACACAAACAGACGGCCCCCAGTCCCCGGCGGCCCCGCTATTCCTGGCTACGGTGGCGACCATGGTAACGGCGGGGCAGGGGGTGCTAAGAATCTCCGGTGGAGGTTCGGTTGCCACCTACGACGACTCGACCTGGCAACATATAACGCACGCACCCTGAGGACTGACGAGAAGATACTGGAGCTGGAAGAAGAGGTAGACAAGTTGCGCTGGCATATTATTGGATTATCCGAGGTCCGAAGAGAGGGGGGAGGACACGGCAATCCTCGAGTCCGGCAACTTGTTCTATCACCGGGAGGGCGACCATCTGTCCCAAGGAGGTGTCGGATTTATCGTCCACAAATCTCTCGTCAACAACGTTGTAAAGATTGGGAGTGTGTCGACGAGGGTCGCGTACCTGATACTCAGAATCACCAAACGGTATTCGCTGAAGGTCATTCAGGTTTACGCACCAACCTCGGCACATCCCGATGAGGAGGTGGAGGAAATGTATGAGGATATTTCCAGAGCCATACATTCCTCCAGAACCTACTACACGGTGTTGATGGGAGACTTCAACGCAAAACTGGGCACAAGAGAAAGCGGTGAGCTGAAGGTAGGGAAATTTGGAGTAGGGCAACGGAACCGAAGGGGCCAGCAGCTGGCCGACTTTATGGAGAAAGAGGGACTCTTTATGATGAACTCTTTCTTCCAGAAGCGGCCCCACAGGAAGTGGACCTGGTCGAGCCCCGACGGTTCGACAAAAAATGAGATTGACTTCATTATGACGACCAGACGTCAACTGTTCAGTGATGTCTCAGTGATCGCAAGGGTGAAAACTGGCAGCGATCACCGAATGGTTAGAGGCACACTGAACCTAAACGTTAAGTTGGAGAGGTCTCGTCTAATGAAGTCAACGCTCCGTCCCCCCTCGTGCTCTAATCCAGAATCCCGAAACCTTTCAGCTCGAGTTACGTAACCGCTTCCAGTGCCTAGAAGATTGCAATGCAGTGGACGATATGAACGACAAGCTCGTGGAAACTGTCCATGCGGTCGGAGCTAAGTTCTGTAAGACCCGCCGCAGAAGAACACAAAAACTCTCCGATCACACTCTTAATCTCATGGCTGTTAGACGGGAGATGAGGCTGCAATCGTCTACAGATTTGACAGCATACAGGCAACTGAACAGACAGATCTCCAAATGCATACGGCGAGACTTACGCAACTTTAATACTTCTCGTATTAAAGAAGCGATCGAGCGGAACCAGGGCTCCAAAGTCTTTGCCAGAGATCTGTCTGCCAGAAAGAGCCAACTGTCAAGGCTGAAGACTGAGTGTGGCAACATCGTTTCCGTGACACCTGAGATTTTGAGTGAGATTGAGAGGTTCTATGGGCAGCTGTACACATCATCGTTGGAGCCACACGCAAGTGTGAGTAACGATCCAAGAGCAAGTCTTATCCGACACTATTCCGATGATATCCCGGACGTCAGTCTAAGCGAGATTAGAATGGCTCTCCAGCACCTTAAAAACGGCAGGGCCCCAGGCGAGGATGGAATTACAGCGGAGCTTCTGAAAGCGGGTGGAACACCGGTACTTGAAGTCCTTCAGAAGCTCTTCAATTCCGTCCTCCATGGTGGCACTACTCCAGAGGCGTGGAGCAGAAGTGCGGTGGTCTTGTTCTTTAAGAAAGGCGACAACGCTCTCTTAAAGAACTACAGACCGATTTCCCTTCTGAGCCGCGTCTACGTGCTGTTTGCGAGAGTCATTACTAATCGTCTCGCACGCAGACTTGACGACTTCCAGCCTCCCGAACAAGCCGGTTTCCGAAAAGGCTTCAGTACCATAGACCACATACATACCCTGCGGCAGATTGTACAGAAGACTGAAGAGTACAATCTGCCACTTTGCCTGGCGTATGTGGACTATGAGAAAGCCTTTGATTCCGTCGAAATTTGGGCGGTGCTACAGTCCCTTCAGCGGTGCCAAGTTGACTGTCGGTATATCGAAGTGCTGAAGTGTTTGTACAGTAGGGCTACGATGGCTATCCGAGTACAGAACCAGAGCTCGAAACCTATCCAACTGCAGAGAGGTGTAAGACAGGGTGACGTTATATCCCCGAAACTCTTCACCGCTGCATTGGAAGACGTTTTCAAGCTACTGGACTGGAAAGGATACGGTATTGACATCAATGGCGAGTACATCACTCACCTTCGATTTGCCGACGATATAGTCCTTATGGCAGAATCGCTGGAGGACTTAAGCACTATGCTCAATGACCTCAATAGTGCCTCCCAACGGATAGGTCTTAAGATGAACATGGACAAAACAAAGATCATGTTCAATGTCCATGTCACACCTATGCCGGTAGTTGTTGGGAGCACTATGCTCGAAGTTGTTGACGAATACGTTTACCTGGGACAAATAGTCCGACTAGGTAAGTCCAACTTCGACCGAGAGGTCAATCGACGGATTCAACTCGGCTGGGCAGCGTTCGGGAAATTACGGCATATCTTTTCGTCAGGTATACCTCAATCTCTAAAAACTAGATTGTACAACCAGTGCGTGTTGCCAGTGATGACTTACGGATCTGAGACGTGGTTCTTCACTGCTGGCCGTATGAGGACGCTTAAGGTCGCTCAGCGAGCTATGGAGAGGGCTATGCTCGGAGTTTCTCTGCGTGATAGACTCAGAAATGAGGATATCCGCAGTAAAACCAGAGTGACCGACATAGCCCAACGGATTAGTAAGCTGAAGTGGCAATGGGCCGGCCATATAGCTCGAAGAACCGATAACCGATGGGGAAGAAAGGTTCTCGAGTGGCAGCCTCGTACCGGTAGGCGTAGTGTAGGGCGACCCCCCACTAGATGGAGTGACGACCTGGTAAGACATGCAGGAAGTCGATGGATGCAGGTGGCTCAGGACCGTGCTTTGTGGCATTACTTGGGGGAGGCCTATGTTCAGCAGTGGACTTGTGAAGGGCTGTAATGATGATGAATGATGAAAGGCACAATGACCGCGGATCGCCAATCATCCGGGACATCTCCCGTCCGCCAGCACAAATTGCACAGCAGACGAAAGCTGTCCCAGACGCGAGGCCCACCGTACTTGACCATTTCAGCAGTAACTCTGTCTAGTCCCGCAGCCTTACCACATTTCAAACTTTGAATCGCACGCTCAATTTCTTTCATGCTGATGACCTCAGTGTCATCGAGATCCGTGACTGGCACGCCAGATCCGGCGTCACCCCCGGATCCTTCACTAAGATACACACGCATACATTTCTCTATAAAATTCGCTCCATCGCTGCATGACGTCTGATTTTTCTGAGAGGACGTCATTGATTCTCGAAAGCACTTTGTTCATTCCTAAGGCTGTCGCACCACTCCGGGACCTTCCAACCCCTTTCCAGAAGAGTTTGGAGTTTTCCTTAAAGTTGTGCGACAACCTTTCGTCCGCTTCTATTCTACACCTTTCACGTACTTCCTCAATCAATGTCTTCGCATGAACTTTCTGCAGCTTATATCTTTCTTTCATCATCTCTCTCATGTAGTCTAACCATGCTTCATGCCAAGTAGTCTAACCATGCTTTTTTCTTCTTCTTTACAGCTTCTCTCACTTCATCATTCCATCATGCATCTCTTCTTTTACTACTACCTCTTTTTGTTGTTCCACATACTTCTTCCGCTGCACTTACCATTCCATCCCTAATGTTCTGCCATAAGCGCTCTTGAATTTTGAAATAGTGTATTTCGGCGTACGTAAACTAGAACTCGAGCGAAGGATATTTAAGTAATAGTATATATTTAAATCTCTTTGCCTAGAGCCAATGATCACAGAGTATTTTTAAATGTCCGTCGATTATACAACTGAAACCGACTACTGGCCACTGTCGGAGCAGTGTGCCGGGCACCGATACTGCGCACTGAAATTAAATGAGTGATGAGTACATACATCATGATATTCGTATTATAATACATTATTTCACTTTTCTACATCTTGGCCTCAAGTAGGAGCACATAATATCCAGAATCTTGTATACGGGCATGCGACTGAACATTTACATTATTTTTCAGCCGGCGGTGATATCGATGAGTTGTGTCCTTCAATGTACAGCTATCACAGTGATCCAAACGAAAAAAATATTCTATTGAAGCATTTCCGTGACAACGGTGTTGAAACTGTAGTCGATCGGCAAGCGAAGAAGCAAAGAATTCGCGAATGGATACAGAATAGTGTTATTGAAGAAGCGGATGAAGAGGTAATTGAATTGATAACCACGAACTTCTTAATTAATGTATGTTTAATTTGATGTTTTTTTATAGGTTAGGTAGACAAACGAGCACACAGTCCACCTGATGGTAAGTGGTTGCTGTGGTCCATAGACATCTACATCTATCATCGGTTACGGATCAAAACGCAGATGCGTTGTCACTCGTGAGGACTAAGATGGAATGCCTCGTTTCCAGTAAAATTTTCACGCTGGTATTCTGTGAGAGCGTGGTCCTTCCCCGGTCAAGCCGACCCATTAGTGCTACAACTATACTACTAATATAACTGCAGCATGGCTCTACCACGTATAAAATTGATGTTTAAAGTATTTCTGAAAAAATTAGTGGGGGTGATATGGTCACCTTAAGCTTTGTCGCCCTATAAAACCAAAACTAAGCGGAGGAAAGAGACAAATACACAAAGTGGTATACTTTAACTAATTTATTAAGAAAAATTGCAAATAAGCCATGGCAATAATTAGAAACACTTCCAAAAATCAATTTAAAAAAAAACTATTACGATCATATTTACTACTAGCTGTTCACCGCGACTTCGTCCGCGTGGAATTTATTACGGTTTGATCTCACGGATTTTGATTATTTTGCACCTAAGTTACTCCTTATAAAATCAGCTATCTGCCAATGAAAGTCCCGTCAAAATCGGTCGAGCCATTTCGGAAATTAGTCGGAACAAACAGACCGACACACAGACAAAACAAATTAAAGTTTTTTGTTGTAATTACTGTGTATACTTTCATATGCATTGAGTAAAAAGATGTTATTTTGACATTACAAACACACACTTCAATTTTATTTATTTGTATAGATAATGCAAACTTCCAAAATAGCGTCGATAAAGCAGAGCCCTTTTAATTATTTGACTGATTGATGAAGAGCTGTCATAGCCTATTTGTTTTTGTTTTTTGTAGTATCGACGATCACCTTATAACATATTATGTAACTAACTTAAGCGTAACTAACTTAAAGATATTAATCAAAGCCAATTTTTTTCAAACCTTTAAAACATTCGTTTTCAGGAGGAAAACAATTACGATGCTAGTCTTATAGAAGAAAGCGATGGCGAACTAGAAGACAGATCAAGACCTCATCCAATCGATGAAAGTCATAGAATTATTCTTCGTTATGACACAGAAAAGCACATTAACCCACGAACTGGTGAAATCATCGATGGTGTGAAACACCCAGACAAAAATCCTTTATCTTACGATGTCAAAAATATAGAACCTGTTGCGCCTGGCAATATCGCAAGAAGATACGGAGCAAAAGAGGATTTTTCATCGCACAGCTCTACAAAAGATAGTGGATATGGTTCTTTAGACGTCAATCCACCACCGAAAACTACTACAAATAAACCAGATATAAAACACATGTCTCTCGATAGAGGTAGTGACATCTCTGCGAGTAGGTCGTTAGGTGGTTCATCGATTCAACAAAACACGCCACCTTTATCTACACATGTTCAGAGGTTTCAGAAGAGTGAAGAAGTTTTCTCAAAGGAATTAGAAAGCATCAAAGGAAGTACATCGACAATTCACTCCTTAGGCAATTCCTCTAGATCTAACAGTCTTTGTCTGACGCGAAATAGTTCTTTAGAAAGCCCTCCAAATGTTATTAAAGATATGCCTCTGGAGAAAGAAAATTCTGGCTCAACATCCCGACCTAATAATCCTGTAATAACACAAAACGGTTTTAGCCCCGGTACTAAACAGAATCTAAACAAAACTCAGCCTTACGTGTCTATGAAAAACACAATTTATGAAAGTGTAACTTCTCGAACAGACAATAATCAAAATAAAGAAGATGATAATTCAAATAATGCTTCGGAGAGTCCCTACACATCAATGATGAATATTGTTCAAGGTCAGATAAAAATTAGCCCGCTGGCTAATGAGTCTGACAAAAATATTGTCAATGTGTCGGTAACGCCAATCAACCGAAGTAAAATCTAATTGCTCAAATTAAAAATACATTACTAAATTTACACTATGTTATGTTTAATTAAATGTGATCTTAGTTTTGCCTTTTTTTTCTACTAAAGTAAATCGAAATGCTTCTATAAAATAATTGTTTATCATATACGTTACCACTTACCACACAGAATTATGCTTAAACGAAAAAATAGGTTTTAACAAAAATTGTGGTACCTTTATTTTCAAATTAAGTTCATGATTAGGTAATGTTGACTAAATTAAAAAAATCTATGTTAAGAAATCGATATATATTATACGTATCTCTTATTATATATGAAATGTAAATCACTTATATTAATTAGTTATTTTACAATATTTTTTTAAATATAAGTAACTTTATTAACTCTAAGCTCTCATAATGTATTACGATTTCGTTGTTATCGATTCAAGGATGGATTTTCACATCCATCCCTAGATCGATGAGGTCTATGTTTTAATATATTTATTTTATTCGTAAAACAAACAGTTACTCTTTTTTGCAAAAATCCTTTATAATTTATAAGCAAGCTGCATGTTAGTTTTATCAATTTTACGGATGGTTTTTAGCGATACAGTAATTTTACATCGACTACAAACAAAATATTAGTGTAATATGCTATCTCCGAAATACGTAACACGATTCAGGTGACAATTTATTTAGAAAATAGAGTATACTTTCTCAATTAGTCTCATACAATTTACAACCATGTCCGATCTTAATTGAAGTTACTTAGGTAATTTTTATTTAAATTCTAACTATGTTAAACTCCTAATAAGAGCTATCGGAAAGTTTTGTCGGTTTTTGTAAATATAAGTCGCGGTAAGCTTTAACGATGTAATTGTGTATTTTAAGCCAATAACATAGTAATGATAATGATTTTACATTTCCTTATTCCAGCTATACACTAACTTGTAGATGCCATTCCAATTTTTTTTGTTTTGACACCAAAAATGCTTAAGCCGCCCCCGAAACTTCTCCATCCCGACTCCTATCCTACCTATTTCACTCCTCAGGCACAACATTGACCTCCACCAGTGCTATGAGCCCCTGGGAAAACGAGTACCCGTTAGCACCACCCTTCTCGACCTCTGGTCTGTGGCTCAGCCGTCGACGACGCTTCGGTAGCAAAAGGGTTGCAGAGAGCAACGCATTGCAATACCGACACTCCTCTGCCCTTGGGGGTATACTGCCTTAGCGGTGCGACCGCCCCAGTGTTGCGAAGTATAGATACTTCTCTCTTCTCTTGTTACTAACACTACTCTTCATCCGAGACTTCATTTCGACTGGACAGGGAAACTGAGAGGACAACTCTCTCCCTCCGAAGTGGGCTCTGTATGTTATAATTCACACGGTACCCACAGGTACAGCCTATATGGCAGAAATTATGACGAAATCTTATTTTATACCAATACATACCATTGTTGTATACAGAAATAATTAAAAAAAATTCTATATACTACCAAAACCGACAGATCCTATCGTAAAAATTTTACTTTTTTACCATTATTTACTTACTAGATTGAAGTCTGTACGAAATTCTTATTAATAAATAACTTATTAATATGGCCCTGTGCCTATGTTCTTCACTGAGAACACTTGTTTTTATTTTGTCCTACAATACGTCCAGCAAATATTTCTACGTATACTACAAAACGGATACTACGGTACTAATACATTGCGCACAAATTTACAGTCAATTCTCCGTAACTTCTTTAGACGCCTGCGAGCGGGTGAGATGACTAGTTCTACTCGTAGATTGTTTTATAAACGGCGAACGTTGTTTTCGACAATCTAACACTGATTTTGTAATTTATGTACACACTTTATCAAAATATATTATTATATATTAGTTTTTTTTTAGATAAATATTGCGTATTTGCTTAGAAACAGTGACCGTACTGTTTAAAGGTCTACCCACACGTACCACAACCATAACCACAACACTTTTGTATTGGAAATGATTAGTACAATTTACATGTACCATATTTTGCCGTCATTATCGACTGCGTGAGTGATACCGACCAACGCAACAACTACGGAACCACACGGAACTAGCGGCCGGCCACATCGCAAACCCAACATTGCGTCGACGCCACGACTAGGGTTGCAACGCAACCACAACGCAACTGCAAAAAGCTGCAGCGATATTATTCACACGTGAACACATTTCGTCGCTGCGATGTAGTGTGGTTGCGATACGTGTGGGCCTACCCATGCATGTGTTCTGTGAGCAGTACGCGTTCGGACTTGGAGCGGAACGCATATGCGGTAGAGTGCTTCAAAATGCCTCCAACTCCCTTAAAGCACCAACGTGTTGGTTAGGTATTAGCCCTCTCGGTAAATTTATTCGAAAATAGAAAAAGAGGAGTTGCTGGGAGAAAAAATGACTCCAAAAGAGACAAAAATTAAGCCACATAAACGTACTAAATGGTCTGTAATCCAAAGACATGATTAATTTTCTCCGGATGGATGAAGACAGTTTTTACAACCTTCTAGAATTTATATTTATGATTTCGCAACTTATATAAAAACATAAATTTCTCCTACCTATGCTACTTAGTTATTTCTTCTCTTTGTTCATTACTGCTTTGGTCAAAATCGGGTTATGTACTACACACAACAAACAAAGAAATAAAATACTTTTGTATAATAATATGTATACTTTTTTTTTCAATGTAATCTTTATTTATGGACTAAAACTATCTAAAAATAAAATAGCTTATATTTTTAACCATAAAGAAACCTTTAATTTCGGACATACTCCCTTCTATATAACTTGTTTGTTGCTGTGGAGATGGTGAAGGAATAGTAGTTAGTTGTTGATGAGAGGATGAAGGCACGTAAGAGATATAAATGTGGTCTTGTGGAGATGGTGAAGGAGTAGGAGTAAGTTGTTGATGAGAGGATGAAGGCACGTAATAGATATAAATGTGGTCTTGTGGAGATGGTGAAGGAGTAGGAGTAAGTAGTTGATGAGAGGATGAAGGCACGTAAGAGATATAAATGTGGTCTTGTGGAGATGGTGAAGGAGTAGGAGTAAGTTGTTGATAAGAGGATGAAGGCACGTAAGAGATATAAATGTGGTCTTGTGGAGATGGTGAAGGAGTAGGAGTAAGTTGTTGATGAGAGGATGAAGGCACGTAAGAGATATGAGTGCAGTCTTGTGTTGATAGCGTGCGAATAGGAGTTAGTTGTTGAGGAGAGGCTTCATCCTCTCCTTACTTACTTCATAATCCCTACTTTACGAACAGAAATAAAACAATTAGTTTAGTAGGCAATCTTGGCCATGTCACTTCACAGGGTCACAGGCTAGGGTGGATGCTTTGAATTTCGATAGTATTTAATTAATTTATTTATTTTATTCAAATTTTTTGTTTTTTTTATTTTTTGTAAAATATCAGTGCTAGGGCTTCTACTCCGTTCACATGGTACACCCTATTTTTTCCAGACGGTAAAAAAGGTCATTCAGTATAACTGTTTCGTTAACGTCCTTCCGCGAGGGCTGCCGGCAGCGACTGCCTAAAGAAATCGGGCCGATGCGCCTACACACACGCAGTACGGAGGGGGCGGGGCCCCGATCTAGGAAGCATCGGCTGCATTTTTGGTCCTGCCAGCCGATTAAGGAGGCGATATCGGCCACGACTTAGGATGTCCCTACATACTCTCCTCAACAGTCAACAACTAACTCCTATTCCCACGCTATCAACACAAGACCGCACTCAGATCTCTTCGTGTCTTCATCCTCTCATCAACAACTAACTCCTACTCCTTCAACATTTCCACATCAACAAACAAGCTATATAGAAGGGAGTATGTCCGAAATTAAAGGTTTCTTTATGTTTAAAAAAAGATATAAGCTATTTTATTTTTGATAGTTTTAATACATAAATAAAGATTACATAAAAAAAGTATACCTATTATTATACAAAAGTATTTTATTTCTTTGTTTGTTGTGTGTAGTACATAACCCGATTTTGACCAAAGCAGAAATGAACAAAGAGAAGAAATAAATAAATAGCATAGGTAGGAGAAATTGATGATTTTATATAAGTTACGAAATCATAAATATAGAAAAATTCTAGAAGGTTGTAAAAACTGTCTTCATCCAATCGGAGAAAATTAACCATGTCTTTGGATTACAGACCATTTAGTACGTTTATGTGGCTTAATTTTTGTCTCTTTTGGAGTCATTTTTTCACCCAGCAACTCCTCTTTTTCTATTTTGGAATAAATTAACCAAGATGGCTAATTCCAAACCAACACGTTGGTGTTTTAAGAGAGTCGGAGGCATTTTGAAGAACTCTACCGCATATGCGTTCCGCTCCAAGTCCAAACGCGTACTGCTAGGCAGGCCCGTGTGTAGGGTCTGCCTCGATAAAAGCCCCGATTTCTTTCCACCCTAGATCGCCACCGATATCGTCTCGTATGTAGCCCGCTTTAGAGGCAATCTAGGAGGCATCCTCACTACTCCACCCTAGATCGCCACCGATATCATGTCGTATGTAGCCCGCTTTACCCTGACGGGGTACTGCTTGGCATGCCCGTGTGTAGGGTCTGCCCCGATAAAAGCCCCGGTTTCTTTCCGCCCTAGATCGCCACCGAAATCATCTCGTATGTAGCCCGCTTAAATGAAAATATAACTGCGTGGTATATTTTCCGTGCCAGCTACTTGGCTAGTCGGCCAGGCGCACCCGCGCGATTCACAGCTGAGACACATAGTTCTTAATTGCCGGTCTAGTAGTATACGTAGAAATCTCTGGCGTCCGGCCCAACGTTTTGCTATCCATACCATACTATATCCATAATCTTTGACTTTTATTTAAATATATTAAAAACATAATATGTACTTAGTCTACTCTACAAGTGAAAGAGCCAAGTGTTTTTGTAACTATTGTAAGTATATCATTTCATCTCAATAATGATCTGGATCTGTTGCCACTGAACATGAAAATAAAAACTTATTTTAAAGGTACCTACAGTTGTAAATTAAAAATGTAAGAATTATGTACTGAAAATATTATTTCTATATTTTGCACGTATTATAAATTTTGATGGTAATTTCATGTTATCTTTTATTTTCCTATAATTTTTTAGTTTGTTAAGAATATTACGACACTAAAAGTGTTTCATAAAATAGTTTTGATGCTTAAATAGTTAAGTTTGTTGAACCTTAAATGGAAAGTTGCGGACGCTCACCAGTCACCACATATACAGATATATAATACAGAGACTACATACTCCATATATAAAGATATACTACACTATAAAGAGAGTAGGTACTGTATACGGATCAATTTATTATTCGAAATTTAGAAAACTTAACCTGCAAGTGCAGGCCTTTGATATGAAAATACTGATTTTTTGTTTTTTGTTTCCAAATAAAACATCAACTGACGCATTTATAGAAAGATTTATTCATACCAGACTGACAATATCATGAGTATAGTGACTCACCAGACTGGGCAGGCAACGTGTCTGCTTAGTCTGACGCATAGAGGAAAGTAATATATCGGACAGTCTGACGCGTTACCCAAGTTTGGTGAAAGCAGTGCTGTGAGATTTGGTTCAAACATTTAGGTCGCTTTTTCCGTTACTTAGATCCTGTTTGGAAACAGAACCGGCGAAAAAGTGATGGAACCACAGAAATCTAATTAATAAGACCATAGAAGTCGTAAAAGCGCGTGACCTTGTCGCCGCACATATGTGACTCGTAAGCCACAAGCGCGCGAGAAGCGTTTGTTTCGGTTACCAGTGTTGCTAGACTAGGTATATAGTAAAAACGTCTAGTACTGAGACACTTTCAGTTAATTAGTTCTATCTTAGTGTGACACTCCTGGACGATCAATGACGCTTAATAGTGTTACGAGTTTAGGGTTCGTGAATCACCAAAATTGACATTTTAATTACCGACAACAAATAAAACTTAAAACACACTAATAATTAATCACACTTAACACTTTAGTTCACTTTATTCCGCTTCTAAGTCTTTACAATTTAATTGCGATACTTTGACTGACATATTGTTAAATTTTTGTATTACACACCTGTAACGCGAAGTAGAGAATTTGGGGTGATAAAGTCGACTTATCAAGGTCAGTGTGACCTCATAAAATTATTTAAAAGAATATATATTTAATAATATTTTTACTGAAAATCATTCTACGAACAGTGTATTTATATTACAGGCGGTGTATGGCGGTTATTATATATATATATATATGTACTAACTTAACATGCAGACGTTGTTTTGCTCTTTTCGACGACCCTTTGTCCTATTAAAAATCCTTAAATTCGCAAAAAAAATTGTGGGTCACTCATGGGCAAAAAAACTATCCTATCTCTCAAGTTAGACCAAACTGCACACGATGTGAAAATCTATAAATATCTAAATATATATATATATATATATATATATATATATATATATATATATATATATATATATATATATATATAGTGAATTGAATGATTTTGAAACATGAAAGATTTTGTTATATGGCAGCGAAACCTGGGTATGCCAGAAGAAGCATAAAAGCAAGTTGAATGCAGTGGAGATGCGATCTCTTCATAAAATGTGTGGCGTTACCATAGCCGATCGAAAGCGAAACGAAGAGATTCGCAATATGGCAGGATTGAAAGATGACCTTATCACAAAAATTGATAGGGGCGTACTCCAATGGTTTGGGCACGTTGAGCGAATGAGTGAAGACCGAATGGTGAAGAAAATATATAGAGCGAAAGTAAATATTAAAAGGTGTCGAGGTAGACCGACACTAACTTTCGAAGACCATGTGAGCAAATTGCTCGAAGAGGGGAAGGTCAAGAGTACTCGGATACCTAGACGTGCATGTATGAAGAAGTTAATGAACTTGAAAGAAGCGAAAGAGGTATGTAAGGATCGTGACACTTGGCGATCTGTTCTCTCTGGCTACCCCGTTAGGGATTGTGCGTGAAGATAAGTAAAGTAAAGTAATGAAAGATGGCATCTCATTTGACATGAAAGTACAAAAATATTTACGTTTTTCTTATTAAAAGTTTCGTGAAGCGGCCGCTGCCGGCTACTGTAAGTTAGAGATGTGATGTGATGTTTGTGGTCGTCTATATTTTATACGATTGTGCTAAGTACGAATGATTATGCACTATACAATTAATTATTGTAAAACACAATTTGTTACTACAGTGTAAGGAATTGCATATTTTATGGTGTTATTGAGAGTTGTCGTTAAATGAAGATAAGAAAAATCAATATTATTTACCATTATAATATGTATTTATTAATAAAGTATAAATATAAATATTAATATAGACACAAATAACAACGGTCAGTGCAAGCAATACGGAAAATAGAAAGTACTTTTGTTGCTTAATATTGACTGAATAAATGATATTTCTTGATTACCGTCAAACTCCCTTACTTTGCCACGGGTCCAATGTTTGCCCATAATGAAAAAGAAGTAATATCTTTTCTATTTTATTAGCCTGAAAACGGAAACTTTGATATATTTTTAGAATTATTATCTGGCAACACAAAATTAGTAGCATCACGTTGGTAAAATGCATTGAAATAATATGTACTTACGTACTAGAACAGCTACCTCAAACAAAAAATGTGCGCTACGCTGTGTTCGCGCGGTTGGATTTTTTATCATTGAATAAACATAGGTAGAATGATCCGTAGGTAATAGTAGATTGTATTGTTAAATAGGTAAATTATATATAACAATATTTAAATTTTGTCATTTATTTTGTATATTATTATTTAATATAATATTACATAATATTATATCACAATTACATTTTAATGATATTTTTATCTGAATATTTTAAAAGTATCTATGTCAAATATAAAAAACGTGCTAAAATATGTTAACAATACTTATTAACATAACATTTAAATTACAAATATATTTATTTAAATTAGAATAAGTCTTTCATAAACTGGGCACGCGAAAGTTAAAAATGGACGAATTTATTCCACTTTGACTGATGTGGAAACCAAAAAAAAAAAAAAAAAAAAAACAGATTTAAAAAGAAAAATTTAGCCTAATTGTAAATTATAGATAGAATTATAGATATATAAAAGAAACTTATACATGTTTCTACAAAAAATGTGTATAATAATATATTAGTCCTATAATTAGGTACCCACAGAAATGTCGCATCTGAACATATTAATTTCATAATCTATATTCCATGACACGAAATGGCGTCTTAGGAATAATTTGTTTTATTATTAATCTTTAATACTTTTTTATTGAATAAATATCTTAATAACCGATGAAAAGTAATTCCTTGGTTTTTACTGACATTTGTTGAATTATTTGTGCAATATCTAAGTACACAGGACGGCATATTTTTATCAAGAGATTTTTTTAAATCAACACAACACGTGACAACTCTACAAGCATCTAGCGAGTGACTGATTAAAGTGCGGTGTATGCACTGCAGTTGAGTGGAACAGAGTAGCTGAATGCAGTGTCGCCTCTAGTACGTAGTACATAATAGCTCAATGGTAAAATGCAAAGATTTTTGACAATCGGGTGCTGAATTAAAGTGTAGAACGGCGGTTACGAGAGTTGTGAGAAAACTTTTCAAGTAAGTCATTAAAATATGTTATTTTAAATTAATTCTAACTTGTTTTATACTCATTCCGTAAAACTATGATAATTTGATAATTTGTCATTTTTAACATTAGAAATACACTAATAATTATTGAGAAATACTGGTGTAGGCAAAGTTTGGCATGTTTTGTGAACAAGTGTACCGAACATTGCCGAGCCTAGGGTTGACATTTGTTATTAATTTTAATTAGGCGGGCGCGTGACCTATACTTATTATGTTTACCTACTTTAGATAATTTCTTGCTTTGCTTTTGTAATGTCAATGGAGTCTTATACAAAAAAAAAAGTTAGTTAAAAGAAAAAAAAAAAAATATATATATATATATATATACTTACTCAGTTTTCTGTTTATTTGAAGGACAATCAAAATGAAAAAGCCTCTAAGAAAATACAAAGGTTACGATGAGAGCTTACTAAACATTGCTGTAGGTCTCGTTGAAAATAAAAATATTACTTCATACGACGCTGAGAAACAATTTGGTATCCCTCGCCGCACGATTTTAAATAAAGTAAAACAAAAACACACGAAAAAATTCGGATGTTCCACCAAACTGCCACCAGCTGATGAACAGAAAATAGTCAGTTGTTTAATTCTTTGTGGAGAATATGGGTATCCTATTACTAGCTTTGAATTAAGGTCAATCTACGTGATACTATCAAAAATGGACTCAGTAATATTTTTAACTACAAAATGCCGGGTCAGAAGTGGAAGAAACTTCTTGAAACGCCACAAAAATGTCCTGACGGTGCGTTCTACAAATAATATTAAAGAATCCCGAGCCAGTAAGAGTTAAAGGACTACAATACATATTTTGAAAATTTGAAGATTTCATTGCATAATGTCAAACCAGATCATATAGTGAACTATGATGAGACCAACTTTTCCGATAACTCAAAAATGTATATTTAAAGCAGGTACTAAATACCCAAACAAAACACTAAACAATACCAAGACGGCGATATCTGTTATGTTCTCAGCTACGGCAAGTGGAGAAATTTTCCCACCACATGTCGTATACAAAGCAGACAATTTGTGGACAAATTGGTGTACAAACGGGCCTGAAGGAACCATATACAACAAAACCAAATCTGGTTGGTTCGATTCGTATACTTTTGAAGACTGGTTTAATACCATAATTATCCCATGGGCAGTGAAAACCACTGATCCTAAGGTTTTAATTGGAGACAATTTATCGTCACATATGAATGTAAATATAATAACTAAGTGTGAAGAACATAATATCAGATTTATCTTTTTGCCACCTAACTCCACTCACTCCACTAAACCTCTCGATGTGGCCTTTTTCGGCCCATTGAAGAGAGAATGGAGGCGAATTTTAACGGACTATAAAGTTCGACACCCAAGTTCTAACACATTAAACAAACAAATATTCCCCGAATTATTAAAAATGTTACTAGATGCAACAAAAATTACACAGAATAAAAACATAATTAGCGGATTTCGTGCTCCTGGGATACACCCCATTAATCCAGAAGCTATATTAAAGAAATTGCCAGATTATCGTAGGCCACAAGCAAACATTACTTACGATGAGACTTTTGTCAATTATTTGAAAGGTTTAAGAAACCCGGCGAACCGGCAAATAAGAAATACAAATAAAAAAATATTTATAGAGCCTGGAAAATTAGTAACTGTTACCGATCTCGTAAATGAAAAAACTCAAAAACGAAAAGCACCAGATACAACTCTTAGTAACGCAAAAAGACTCAATCCTAAGAAGAATATCATCCCCAAAGAAATCCAATTACGGGAAGACATGAAAGAAACACATTCAACTATTGCAGATTCTTTGATTATATATAATCAAAGTGTGGGTTATACTTTTGACAATGTCTCATTACACGTTAAACGAGATTCGTCATCCGATGCTGACAATAACCAACTTATGACTAATTTGATAGTAAATGCTGAAATACGAGTACATCAAAAACATGTAGATATGGAATTATCTGACCAGAAAAATACTAAAAGTATTTACAACATTCAACCAGGCGTTATTGTGAATGTTGATAAAAATTTATGTTTATCAAATGACCGGACTTTATTCAAAAATATTTCTAACTTTGGTGCAACTACATCAAATGAAACTATGACGAAAAGCCGAATTCTCTCCAATGTAATTATAAAATCCCCAGATAGAATCTCATTTGATGATAGTGTTTCAGATGACTATACTAAGCATGAAAAGGTGTTTCCAAAAAGTAGGAGCAATCAAGGTTCGAGTTCAGAAAGCTCAGGAATGTATACTGTGCATGATTCGTCTTGTGATGAACATTTTCTTCCATCTTTAAGTGACACGGAAACGTACATAGACGAAATGTATGAAGAATTGGAACAAAATATTGATAAAGAAAATGATATGTATGAAATAGGTATTGATAAATATGTTCTTGTTAAATTTTCAACATCAAAGTTGGCTAAATATTATATTGGTCTAGTAATCAAGTACAACGATTTGGAGCGCGTATATACTATAAAATACTTAAGAAAAAATTCAAAAGGTACATTTTACTGGCCACTAGTAGATGATGTCTCAGAAATAACTTTACTTGATGTAGAAAAACGTTGCCAAATCCACAAGTTGGACGTAGAGGGACATTAAAGTTTGATTTAGATAATTTAGTAGTGAGTGTTCCTTTGTCAAACATTTATTGAAATTCATTATCTGATAATTAGTTTTTGACTTCATTGTGATATTGTGGTATTTTTTTAGGATAAATAAAGTAAAACTTTACTACGTCATATTGTGCGTATAAACATGATTATGTTTAATAAGAAAAATGGTTAATTTCGAAAGACTGATTGTAATTTTAATAAAAACTGCTTGCAATGAGAATTACTGATTAAGTGTTATAACATGTGTTTTAAATATAATTTTAATATTTTGTTACCTACTTATTTTTCTTATGAGACAACCCTACACTTTCTTTGTCAATGTATGAATGTTGGAAGAAATTGTGTCCTAACATTGCCTTATAAAATTTTATCTTCTAAAAAACTCCAAAAGGTGTTATTCGAAATTGATTTGTATTGTTGAATTATTAAGCTACATTTTAGATTGTCCCAGGATTAAATGTATATATTTATTTTGGAGTAAACGCCTCTGGCAATGTTAGGAATATTAGACATAACTTTGCCTTTTTCTTGAAATACCTCCATAAAGTTATTAATATTAAGCGTAATGTCTAAAATAAATGTTATATATTATACCTAAGTCTTGTTTTTACTCTTGTTTTAATTTCTATCTGCTAAAAAGTAAAATTCAAAATTTATTTTACGACAAAACTAAATAATATCAACATTCGTGAAAAGTTAGGGCATTTGACGGTACTCGAGTTATCTTTTATTGAATCAATAGCTAATGGGAATATAGGTAACTAGAAACTTCAGAAACCAAAGTTAAAATAGCTGATGAAATGTAAAAAAATGTAAATAAATATTGGTTTTTAAATATCCAGTATAAGCTGATCTCGCATTGTATAGGATTTCCGTACAATGCGAGGTTAGCGTATAGTGGTAAGATTAGATTGAAAAAATAAATTTTCACCAATACAATCAATCGCCTAAGAACTTTGAGTATTAAACCAACTGGAGAGACCATGCGCGTTAATTCCTAAACAAAAATTCTGTCAACATCAGAGGGGCGCAAGATAAACAAACAACTGTATACTTAACTACAAACGCAAAAGTAAATCGCGTCACTATAAACGCACACTACAACATTTGTGTTTGTTTTCATCGCGTTTACGCATACCATCAAATCGTACACGTGTTGATACACTGATAACGCTGGCTGAATGCGTAAGCAACGTAAGGCGTGGACTATGTCCATATTTTTTATCGATAAACAAATCAACATAGCCCGCACAAGTTTTTATTTGATTATAAGTAATACATAGATAAATAATACCAAGGTGTTATTTGAAATTCTTTTTTTAAAGTATTTAAAAATGATCTTCGGAAAAAAACTTATAAATTATTGAAAAAAACTTTATTATTTTGCTACAGGTTTATTTTACATTATGCAGGATAAAATTTAAAATACTTAACAAATCAAAATAGGAGGTTCAGTTAACTTATTTTAAAAATCAGAGTTATGAAAAGAAAAATCCTATCAGTTTATCATCTTAGATGGTGTTAACCAAGTTTTTGTTTTTATTATAAGGCTTCAATCACAAAACCGCTATTTATAAAAAGTTGTTGATTTTGAAGAGTTATTAAATAAACTATTTGGAAAATATTTAATAAATTAGGAAAATAAAAAAGTTTTACATTGTATAACAGTTGAATAAAATGAACTTTAAACAGACAGCTGCTTAAAAATAAAATGTGACATCTACCTAGGGCTAAGTATTCCCCAGAAATATGTTTTGCTAAACTAATGTACAATTGATGAACGCTGACTTGGCTACACAAAAAAAGCGTTAACTGTTTTAAAACTTAGACTAGAGAGTAACCCTGACAAGAAATTGTGTTGTATATTAGTGATAGATGAAATGAAAATAAAACAATTGACGGAGTACTATGCCAGTTCTAAAAGACATTTTGGTTATATACATAATGCCTTTGGCTGCTAGCATGGTATTCCGTCAATTGCCTAATTTTCATTTCATCCATGACCAAGGTACAATAATTTTTTTATCAGGGTTACTCTCCGCTCTCAATTTTAATGCCGTCAGCGCTTCTTGAGTAAACCCTGGTCGGCGATCGATGGTAGTGTATCACTTAGTCAATGGCCGTGGTTTTTTCAGTTTTTTTTTTTCAGTTTAATTTTCCTTGGCCTAAGTGTTGACTCGTACTCGCAGTGAGAGTAGGATTAGTTTGGTTAAATAAAGATTTTTTTTTCGAATTGTGACTTTCGAGACAACTAATGGAATTTTTCCGTAACATCCAGCTTTCTTTTTTCGATGTTGCTGATGTTGTGCAATCACCACGATCACCCTAAAATAAATAATTTACTTACGTAAGTCAGAAGATTTAAGATATATATATATATATATATATATATATATATATATATATATATATATATATATATATATATATATATATAGAATGGGTCCCACATATAATGCATACATCAATAAATGAAACCACGAGTAATACTAGTCCGTAGAAGTGTAGAAAAATTGAATATTAAATTAAAACCCGTAAAATAAAAAAGTGAAATTTTCAAACAAAATAAATTCAGTAAAAGTGAACACTCTGTTTAGACAACGTACCTTGACCCCTTGGAAGAGTGACAACGTTGCACGCGGGTGGCACGCCGACAAAAGACACCGCTGTCGATATGTCGCAATACCAATAGTTTGCACTGCGTGGCAACGTCGCTTTTTAATGTTCAAGGATTCAAGTTCATTGAATCATTGAATTAGTGACCCAATTCTATAGAGTGTTCAAATTTGCTTAAAATTAAAACTCTACTTTTTGACCTAATTACTGGACCGATTACGTTCATTTTTTGTATATCGTCAGCAAAGGCGATAACAAGTATATGGTTTCATTTATTGCATATATGTGGGACCCATTATATATATATATATATATATATATATATATATATATATATATATATATATATATATATATATATATAATGTCGGAAAGTATAACACGATAAGCCATGATGAACAAAAAAAAATTATTGTTATCAATAATAGGACAGCGTAACGCTCTATACATTCAGCATAGAGTAATTACAGTTTGACCATACTGCAGTGTGTCCCTGTCACAATTACACACCGGCGCAATGTGAAGGACACAACTACATGATTGTTGGAGCGGAAAACCTCGTGGTTGTTTTTATGGTGAGGCAGCACCACTGTCCCCATTTGACAAGGGTTCAGTCGAGCTACCGTATATTGTTTCCATTGTAATGAAAGAGATCTAAGACCACACACTTTTAATTTTGCACTACAACTTTATTCTACACTTCTTATTATGAGACTCACAAATAATACTTGCAAAGTTTTACCAGGAAAATAGAACTACACTGACGAGCGCAGGAACTGAAGTGATTCTGTTCCCGCGTTCATTCAATAAGGAAAACGTAATAACGACTTAGGTGTGCTCTGATTGGTCGACGATTTGATTGGTCAATACTTGACTAAACAATAACTTTTTATTGAATTCATTAGAATACTTAAGCAATTTCAATTATCAGGATTAATAATCAAATCGACAATTATTTATTCTACAATTTAAAACAATATTTGTGTTAAAAGTTGATAATGGAATAAATAGTTATTTTACCAGGAATTAGTTGTCAATAAAGAGATTTGTAAACCAAAAGAGTTTTTAAAGAACTAGTTAGTTACATGTTATGTTTTTGATAAATTGCTGTTATTAAATTGTAATATTAACAATTATAATTTACAAAAAAAAATTAAAAGACAATGCAAAATTTAGGCTTAGAAGATATCCTTGCGGCGACATATATATATATATATATATATATATATAGAATGGGTCCCACATATATACATGCATGTATACATACAATAAATGAAACCACAAGTAATACTAGTCCGTAGAAGTGTAGAAAAATTGAATATTAAATTAAAACCCGTAAAATAAAAAAGTGAAATTTTCAAACAAAATAAATTCAGTAAAAGTGAACACTCTGTTTAGACAACGTACCTTGACCCCTTGGAAGAGTGACAACGTTGCACGCGGGTGGCACGCCGACAAAAGACACCGCTGTCGATATGTCGCAATACCAATAGTTTGCACTGCGTGGCAACGTCGCTTTTTAATGTTCAAGGATTCAAGTTCATTGAATCATTGACTTAGTGACCCAATTCTATAGAGTGTTCAAATTTGCTTAAAATTAAAACTCTACTTTTTGACCTAATTACTGGATCGATTACGTTCATTTTTTGTATATCGTCAGCAAAGGCGATAACAAGTATATGGTTTCATTTTGTGCATATATGTGGGACCCATTATATATATATATATATATATATATATATATATATATATATATAATGTCGGAAAGTATAACACGATAAGCCTTATTGTTATGCAATAATAGGACAGCGTAACGCTCTATACATTCAGCATAGAGTAATTACAGTTTGACCATACTGCAGTGTGTCCCTGTCACAATTACACACCGGCGCAATGTGAAGGACACAACTACATGATTGTTGGAGCGGAAAACCTCGTGGTTGTTTTTATGGTGAGGCAGCACCACTGTCCCCATTTGACAAGGGTTCAGTCGAGCTACCGTATATTGTTTCCATTGTAATGAAAGAGATCTAAGACCACACACTTTTAATTTTGCACTACAACTTTATTCTACACTTCTTATTATGAGACTCACAAATAATACTTGCAAAGTTTTACCAGGAAAATAGAACTACACTGACGAGCGCAGGAACTGAAGTGATTCTGTTCCCGCGTTCATTCAATAAGGAAAACGTAATAACGACTTAGGTGTGCTCTGATTGGTCGACGATTTGATTGGTCAATACTTGACTAAACAATAACTTTTTATTGAATTCATTAGAATACTTAAGCAATTTCAATTATCAGGATTAATAATCAAATCGACAATTATTTATTCTACGATATAAAACAATATTTGTGTTAAAAGTT